TTCTGTTGCACTCCTGACATGGTATAACATTTTTTTAACATCATCCGAAACCCTAACTTGGTCAAACACATTTTGCCACAATCTACATTTAAAGCTTTGTAGATTGAATATTATCAGGAAGTTTTTTCCAATATAATATTATTCATTTCACAGATTAAAAATAAATATTTGATTTTAAAAACATAATAAGGTGTCACACTACTTACATTTTTAGCATCATTTTGGGCATCACTTTTTCAAGAATGGGATATCAGTATGATATTTGGAAGGTATTTATATAATATTCAAAGAGATATGCGGCGACGTATATAACAATTTAATGAATTTATTCCAATTGACAAACAAGTTGATGAAGCAAGAATATCAGCAGTCTCTTTGAAAGTCATTTTTAGCATCATTTTGGGCATCACTTTTTTAAGACTGGGATATCAGTATGATATTTGGAAGGTATTTATATAATATCCAAAGAGATATGCAGCGACGTATATAACAATTTAATGAATTTATTCCCATTGACAAACAAGTTGATGAAACAAGAATATCAGCAGTCTGTTTGAAAGTCATTATTTCGTAAATGCTATAGTTGATACAATGACCTTGTCAACAAATACAATTTAAGATTGAGGCAAACACTGACTGACGTTTTTCATACTAATTGTTAGTCCATTACGTATTTATACACTGAATTGACGTTGGATTTCTCCGATATTTCCCGATCATGACAATGAGCACATGGCGGGTGTGACCGTTCGGCAGGGAATGCTCACTCCTCCATGGCACTTATCCCACCTCTGTTGTATTGGAGGTGCATGTTTGCTCTGCTCCTATTTTGTACTGTTTTATGGGCTTAAATATTGATCTTAAATACTGTTCATTATCTCGATAAGTTTCATCAAAACTCTGTGATAAGTCGACCCTAATATATGTATTTTTCACTTGGTAACTCGTTATTATATAGCATACATTTAAAAAGATTCTGAAGTTTTCTGTCCTATTTCATATCTACAACTAGACTTTGAACCGTGCGTGCACGGGTCATAGGTGTCAGAACCGGGGGAGGGGGGCTTATCCCCCTCACTTTTTGTTGCAAAGATAGAAATAATACATGCATTGAAGATTGGGGCATAGGTTTAGCCCCTCCCCCCACTTTCAACTTTTTTTGCAAAGATAGACATTATGGGCATTGTTACAACGCACTTTGAAAAATTACGCACTTTGAAAAAAATTTCAAAGTGCGTTAAATTTGGGACCAAATCAACACACTTTGAAAAAATAAAATTTCTTTTCAAAGTGCGTTAGTATCGACCATATTAACGCACTTTGAAAAAAAGTAAAGTTTGATCAATGTTCTCACAAATAATCAGTATGATAAATAATTGATCATGGTTGGATAACTTTTTTTATGATGAGGTCACTTCAGGACATGAAATATTGAATATTTAAATATCTTAGGTTTTGATAAAAGTTAAAAAAAGAAAATGGATCTTTTAGAAAAAATAGAGAGATAATTGTTTAATATCATTATTTTGTTTCTGTTTGAAAATTCTAGTCTATAATAGGTAGATGTAAAGGGGGGGGGGGGCTCAAAGTGAACGACTTAAAGCATTGAATTTATTTTAAGAAGAGGGGCAATTTGATTTTTCAAAACTATAAAAGTTCTTTCTCTCTCATACATTTTACTGTACTTACATTGTTTTTAGTTTTCATCTGTTTTAAGTTAACTCATTTGTTGAAAGGTTGAAACGTCATACCATTATGTAAATATATATTATACATACATGTACATGTACCTGTTTTGGGTATAGCATAGGCATCGAAACCGGGCGAAGGGCAAGAGGAGGGGGGGGGGGCTAAGCCCCCACTTATTTTGGAAAGATATACATCATATAAGCATTGAAAATGCGGCTTACCCTTATTGAGGTTTATTACTCCCCTCCCCCGTTTTATTTGTTACCGACGCCTAAATATTCTAATGATAAAGATTGGACTGATATACAATGAAGCGCACTGAAGTGGTAAAATTTTCTGTTCGAATGGAACGTTTTGAGCTATCTTTAGAACTTTTTTTGTCATCTTAGGATACGCCCATTTCTTTAGAAATTGATAAAACGGTCAATTTGTTTATTCGAATACCTGTTGAACAGGTTTTCCATAAATATAATAGCCAATCAAATTGACGGTCTAAATGAACACCGAGTAAACGCGTGTTCGACCGAAACATGTGTCGTGATAACTTAAACAGACACGATAAGTTCAAAAATATCTACATATTCGTTGCAATTTGAGTTTTACAGAAGTGGGGAGTCTCTAACTATCTCTTCTAATTTTTTTAAAGCTCTATTTAAGTGTCAGTTATGTTGCTTGTCGCGAAGTATGGGGTGTCCTAAAACATTACGACGAATATTTCTTTCTCGTTTCTAAAAATATGGGCGTGTCATTATGTTATAATTGACGCTCAAAACATGACTCAGAACGTTTCATCCAAATGGAAAATTTTACCACTTCAATGCGCTTCATTGTATCTTCTATCAGTCTTCTCTTCTTCTCGACGGGAGTAAATCAATGCATGTGTTTTGAAAGATAAATTACAAATAAAATATTTCCATTACTAAAATCTTAATCCAGATTTTTTTTGTTTTTACATATTTTTTCAAAGTGCGTCAATTGTCTCCATGATAAAATGTATTGATGTAAACTCTTAACGCACTTTGAAAAAATTTTTCAAAGTGCGTTGAGTTGGTCCCAAATTTAACGCACTTTGAAATTTTTTTTTCAAAGTGCGTTGATTTTGTCCCAATTTTAACGCACTTTGAAAAAATTTTTCAAAGTGCGTAATTTGTTGCCACAGACCATATTAACGCACTTTGAAAAAAAATGTATGGCTTGGTCAATATTTTTCTAAATCTTAGGTATGATAAATAATTGAACCTTTTGGATAACTTTTCGGTAATAGGGTCACTCCAGAATGTTAAAGGGAGCGATTTTGATTTTTCTATACTTTGAAAATTGTTTCTCTCTTAAATGTTTTACTGTATAAATTTATTTTTCAGTTTGCATACATTTTTTGTCAACTAAAATTTATTGAAAGTTTACAACGTCATAGTATTTATGCAAAATAATACATAATATCTGGGTGTAGCATACGTATCGGTACAGGCGGGGGGAGGGGTAGGGGGTTACGCATACAAATGCATGTTTTGCATTTAAAGATATACATATACATATTATAGGCATTGAAAATTGGGTTCCACTTTCAATTTGCTACCGACAGCTATGTACAGTGTATAAGAAAAAAAGAGTTAGGCTGAGAGTATAGACCTTCTACTCGTCTTCACCTTGTTCTCAATTAGGATAAATCAATGCATGAAAATTAAAAAGGCTTTCTTTTAAAAGATCAATTATTACAAATTGATTCTCTCAATTACTACGATCTAAGTGTAAATTTTTTTATACACATTTTTTCAAAGTGCGTTAAAAGTCCCCATAGTATAAAATGTTGATGTAAACTCTTAACGCACTTTGTAAAATTTTTTTCAAAGTGCGTTGAATGTGTCCCAAATTTAACACACTTTGAAAAAAATGTTCAAAGTGCGTTGATTTTGTCCCAATTTTAACACACTTTGAAAAATATTTTCAAAGTGCGTAATTTTTTCAAAGTGCGTGGCCACAGGGCATTGAAGATCGGGCCTCAACTTTCAACAGACACGTTGCAGTGTTAAAAAAGGTTTAAGTGATAGTGTTTGGGGAAAAATTCAGTACTGGAACCTACTCACCACCCTCCCCACCCCCACGAAATAGGATTTTTCAGGTTTAGACAATGGTCAAATATTCGTCTTTTTTGTTTATTTATTTTGCTTGTTTAGTTTTTCAGCTTTGAATTTTTTCTTTTTGAATAAGCCCTCTTCACCCTTCCAATTTGCTTCCGCGCCGCCAATGCGGGGTGACATTGTTATGAATGCATACATGTGCATATCGGACATAAACATAATAGATACATCGACACATTCATATTGTTAGGTACTTTTGAAATAAACAATGAATGTTACAGAATACGTTTGATCCCCCCATGTGATCTATAGACAAAGTCATGAGTTCGAATCACGCCGGAGCTTACATAAATTTCACCTTTCCAAAAAATTTAATTAAAGATATGGATTTTATTGAAAATATGACAACAAAACAAAATAACAGTACAAATGTATTACCACATTTGGAGTACGCCTGTCCGTTTGTTCAAAATCAGGCAATTCGGTTGAGAATTAAATCCAAAATGCACGTAATAAGATCAGTTTTATACTCAATTGTTGCTGTAATAATTCTGAAAATTTCCACTTCCACCTTTTTTCCAATATGTAGTTTATCAAACAGAATATATCATGTCACAGATCGGTTTTTAAAAATACGAGTTATATAGCCAATGAGCCTAGTTAACTGTTTGTCACATTATACTATAAGCCAAATGTCCAGCTATTTTTCAGATGTCTATCTAGTCCCTACGAAGGTAAAGTTCCGAATATTTTACATCAATTATTAATAACTTTGAATTCTGGTCCATTTATTCTATAAAAAGTTTGATACAGTATGTCATTTTATCTATGATATTGCATGTACAAAGAATATTCATAAACGCAGGCATAAGTGAATTCAATCTATGACATTTTGCTGCAAAAATCATATAATGCTTTGCTTTAATATTACTGTTTATCAGTAGAATGTAATGTCTTCTGTATTTAAACTGTATTGATCTTCTTCAGGGGCTATTTACACAGACAGAAACAAAACTGATAAGACTTGTCAATTTGATAAATCTGAGTGGAACGTTCAACTTTATAAGCAGCAATCCTCCTTTTGCAATTTCAATGATATTTTTCCAAAACATCACTTCAACTTTTTAAACAATATATAACCAGAATTAGTTGTCTTACTTATTGAATTTAGTTTATTGTCTTTAATTTTTCAAAAATGATTAATTGTCCTTTCCGGAAGTATTGGTTGATCGATTGAAAGGTTTAATCTAATCCCGGGTGTTGACAGAGGGTTTTCAATGTGTCTTATCTCTTCCCTCACGAGGAGGAATATGAGTTTTGCACTGTGTCAAACAAGGGCAGTGTAAAAATGGTCTAACCAGAAGTAAGATGAAATTGAATTGTTTTTTGTTAAGTTTCTGTATCTGTATATTGTATTTATGTACACTGGTGGCGGGAAATGGAGGATTCACCCTCGCGCCAAGTCCCTCCTCACCGGACTACAAAGCGGACGAAGCTAAATATGAGGATGGAGGAATGGCACCGCTCTTCAACTTCGCCCGGAAATTCATCAATATGTGTTTATCTGATATCAAAGATGTAATAGAAGGTATAATTTTCATGTTTAAAAAGTATTCAAATAATTCTTTTGATGTGTTGTTGATGTTGTCACCAATTTTATTTTTAAATTGGTATATTCATCAGATAATACAACGAACCTACTTATAAACTGGGGTATTTTTTTCTGAATGTTTTGAGCATGATAAATGTAAAGTGTTTGACGATTTTTCTTATGACACAAAATTCTGAACTTAATTCAATAGGTCAATTATAGTTTTATACTAAAGTCTTGCTATGACAAAACGCCTTACAGCTGACATTGACAGTACTTACTACTATAACTGTTGCTTGGTAAGCTTAGATGTATCGGGACTTAATTTCTAGGTAATTAAACTCAACGAAAATTCAAACTGCCTTTTTCAATTAAAAAAGGTTATCTATTAATATGGACGTTTTATTTTATCTCTGCGAAGGAAATGTATGAATTGCCTACACTTTATCAGATTTTTTTCTATCTTCTTGACATTTTTTTAAACTGACATTAACATGAACATAAATAGCGGGGTCGCTTTTGGTATATTTTTGAATTAAATGTCGTGTAAATGCTTTCTTCCCTACAAAATTCTGTTACTGTCATGAAATACGGGGAAGATAAGTTTATACCAATTATGACGTCATGATTGAATTAGCACTAAAAGGAAAGACTATACTTATTTACCACATCTTGACCTTAAGCATCAAGTTAAACAACAAATGATTAAGATCTCCCTCTACCGTAAAACAATTTAATCCCGAAATAGAAGGAAAGCAAATGCAAAGTTCAAACAAGCTTCTACAGCTATTCCTTCTTCAAAATAAGAAATGGTTTTAAATGTTGAAGACGCATTAGGATTATTGAGAGGATGCAGTCTTTGTCATCAATTTTTCGATTTTTCTTTTTTTAATAATTTACATTTTGTTTATTTTTATGGCAAAAGACATGCTTGGCCTCCTAGTTTCTTCATATGTAAAAAAAAAAAATCATATTCTATGACATACACTATAAATTTGCAATCAAATATATACAATTGGGAGCAACAAAAAAATTGTGAAAATTTTGATGTTTTCTAACTTTAATAAAACTAGGTTTACAGTAGATAGTAGGCATAAAGGAATGCACGTTCAAATAGATTTATGTTATCAACAGGTGCTTGAAATGTTTTAAATCTTCTTCGCGTAGCTCTTTTGAAAAAATTCTTTTGGGGAACAAACCGTATTTCATTTTTGAAAAAATCGATTGAAGTTAGTTAAATTGTTTGGTCTTTCAATCATTCGAAACGAAAAATCTATAATGTAAAAATCTATGAATAAATAAAGATTACGTTTGAAAACTTGTGGGTAGAAAAATATCTAGAGAAAGAAATGTTAGAGTTATAATTTAGTGCATAGATACAAGTCTATGTACATTTCTGAAAAATCATCAGATCTTTAGAGGAGACGATGGGTCATTTAATTAATGTTCATAAAACTAAATCTTAAAGCTTTATCAAAACAAAGAATGTACCGCAATATAAAAATATCATTAATGTAATCATTCCTAAATAATTTTCAGCGGATTACGGTACAGTAAGAAATTTGATTTTATACTTCGTATGATGATAAAAGAATCAGAAATACTTTATTAACAATATCAAATGGTTCGAACATATGTTATGTAGCAATATCATCTTTGTAAGGCTCATTATGATACTTGTTGAATTCTTTTGGATTCTTTATCTCGAACTTAAGCTTACAGTTCAATTAATGAGAATAGTTCTTATTAATCATATTTCTTTTCAAAACTATAAACACATCAGCCGACAAAATGTATTTGATTTACCCTATTTATATTCAAAGCTTCAAATATATCCTAACACAGATAATGTGAAAGCACAAATTTTCGTGGGGGTTAATTTTCCTGGTTTTCAAGTTATGAAGAGACCCACGAATTGATGTCCACCACGAAATGCATTTTTTCACAAATATTTCTACTGAAGAATTCTTCAGCCACAAAATCAAATCTTCATGAACCAATATATATCCCTAAACACCCGAAAATCTTACCCTTCGAAAATATGTGATTTTACCGTACATTTGTATATAGCATTTCATTCATATGTCGACTCCATATATATCAGTGAACTCTAACGAAAAGGAACAATAAGATCTGCCTCAGATGTATCATATTTGGATTTTTACTGGTTATATTATTGACAAACAAGTTGATGAAACAAGAATTACAACAGTCTCGTTTAAAGTCATTATTTCATATGTTCTACTGTCGATACAATGACCTTGTCAGCAAATACACTTTATCATTGAGTCAAATGCTGACTGACGTTTTTCATAATAATTATTAGTCCATTATTTACACTGAATTGACGACGGGGTTTTTCCCTTATTTCCCAATCATTCAAGGAGCACACGGCGGGTGTGACCGATCGGCAGGGGATGCTAACTCCATCAGGACACCTGATCCCACCTCTGATGTTTTTGAGGTCCATGTTTGAACTGCCCCTGTTTTGTAATGTTTTATGGACTTTTGATCTTGAATTTTGATCGTTATCTCCATATGTTTCATAATTATAGTAGATAAGGGCCGACTATCAATTAAACGGTATCACACAAAAAAAAATGACCTAAGTTTTTAAACTGTCATGTTTTCTTATTTATCTAATAATGATCCGTTATTTTATGCATATGGTGTTTGTGTTCCCAAATCCATTCTATACTTAAAATCACAATTTGGATAGGAATACTTTTTTTAATTCGATACAGGTATTTTGACATACTTCATAACAGCTATTAAGTCTATGTATTTAAAATAAACGGCTACGGCTTTTCTATCTACCTGATAAAAACATAAGGTTCAAAGCAGGCATGACAGGACTAGAGGGGATGCTTAATTATTTCTAGAGACCTGATCCCTCCTTTGTCCATGTTTAATGACTTTGGTAGTTCTTGATAGTTTTTAGGACAAAGCACTGTTTCTGATCATCACCTTTTTCTCATTTTTACCGTAAAATTTTTATCTATTTTCAGCTCTTTAAAGACTTTTTTTTTCATTTTCTACGTGATATTCTGAAAGCAGAATGCCTTTAAGGATGTACAACACACCTACCCCAAAAAATTCCTGTCATTTAATTTTCGTTATTTTTGTATATTTAATACATGACTATATATCTACTGCATGTATGCATATTTTGGACAAAATCGTTCGAGTGGTTTTTGGACAGGAACTTCCGAAAGTTACCCCCCTTTAGTTGTTTACAAGGAGAGAAAATTTTTAATCAATGAACTACTTAAACCTTGATTTTCAAAAAGCCAGGTTATATATCAATGTCAAATTTCATTGGCTTATTCCTTTAACCATTTAACACAAAAACATAGTCATCTTTTTGATATACATATCATCAAAACAATTTTTAAAGACCTTAAACTGAAAAACTATGAATTTTCCAAGCCTTGAAAATTGCGTATTTTTCAAATTCAAAATTTTTTTGTGAAAAAACCTGTCGTTTAATTTTGGTAAAAAACTTTCTTTAGGTAGCTGGTAGTAAAAATAATCTTCATAATTTTTTGTATAATTTTTGTACGACCAGTTTTGATTTAATAGCGGAAAATTACCCCCTCCCCCTTTCTCAATAAATCACGTTCCCGCGCGTCTTTTAGACGAGGGTCGATCACTTTGTTATATGAATCTACAAATACACATTAAAAAAAAATTAAATTGGAATATTGCTTTTGCTTGAAAAATATATTAACTTACAAATTTAAAACTTCTCATGTGTAAAGCGTATTTAAATGTAGATTTTTAGGCAATTTTCGAATACCCCTATCACCCCCACCCCTTCCTCTTTTGCGTCGCAGACCATTAGCGTTTGACGAAACGTCGTTTACAGTGCAAATATACTGGTATTTCGTCAAGGATCCCGGAGGTATGCATTAGTTTTGAAATTCATGAATGCAGAATACATATTGACTACTCTTTTTATATGTATCAGGAAAAAATTACTGAAAGATTTTAGTATTTAGTCCATATACGTATGCGTTATGCATTCCATATCACATGAAACCTGGATACGAATTCAAGTTTTGTTGAACTTGAATATGTTGATTTTTGATTTTATTTCTTTAATTTTATTCATTAAAAAATGGTGTTTGTTCAACTCTCCTGTGATATAAAGGGAATAATTGTAGTTTCTTTCATGTCATTATTTCAAACGAGACAGTATGTGGCCGTGGGGATACATCGACATTTGCATTAGATGTACATGTATACACCCCTCATGATATTGTACGCATTTCTTTCAATGTCGTCGCTTCTAAAGTTAAAATGAAAATTCCGTATTCGTCCACATTAACTTCAAAATATCAAACATTAAACTCTTCATCTATTTCAATTTATATCAAATCGCACATTGATATTTTTTTTAAAAGCTTATAGGCTACGTTTTGTTTTGATTCGAGGAAATGCGAACCGACATTGTTGACAGAAAGTCAAAGTTACGATTTGCTGCAATAGGATATTCATAAATGCAGATAATTTCAATACAAGTGAACAATTCTTTTCAATTCTATACTTACATTGTGTATATGAGGTCTATAGTATTCAATTCTCGGATTTATCAGGTCTTGCTGTAAATGTATCTGATTCTGTGGAAAACCGTAAATAAAGGGAGGAAAATAAACATCTCCTACATTTTCAGAGTTGTTCCTCTTTGATCAGTAAGGGTCTGAGAACAACATCGATTTTACATTGTAAGAAGTTTTTTGTTTATTTATTGTTGTTTTATTTAATTAAAGAAGAAAAACAATACATGTATTTATATCGTGTATGCACAAATTGTAATGAAGGTCATTAATCGGAATGTTATATAGCCAATTGTACATAATGAGAATTTCGGCAAGGTAAAATAAAATTTTCATAATAAAAGAAAATTCTGCATTTTGATAAAAAATACAATTTATTGTATATGAAATGAAATGAAATAAACATTAAGGGGTGGTATTTTATGTCTTGCTTTTTACGGAGTTTAATCGGGTTAATTAAAGAAACACTTATTGATTGAGTATGGTACGCACAATCACAGCCAAGTCCCATATCTCAATTTTCTTTCATGATTGATATACATCGGGATCGTTTTACTCGTCGTTTTGACGCTTTATTTTTGACGTTAAATTTGACGTCACGTCAAACGTTCAATTGAAATCGCAAGAATTATCTCCCCCAGTGTGTTGTACGTCTTTAAATGACGCATTATTTATAAAAACAAAAATACGAAAGGAATGGAAAAATACAGATGAATTATTTTAATAAATCAAACACTTTAATTTAAGATCAAGGGAAGTAACATCTTATTTTCAGTTATCAAAGATGCCATAAAAGGCAATATTGGTCAAAATGTAGAGGATATTCTCCACACGGTAAGTTTCTTTGTATGTTTCTTTACATTTGAAATAGTTTCCTTTTACAATTCTTGTCTGTTCGATGAATGCAGCAATATACCCTCATCACCTGCATACGGATTTTATATACCTCAATTGATTCGAAACGCAAAAGCATGCTCAACGTATGAACAATTCCTAAATCGAGATTAAATATTGACAAACAAGTTGATGAAACAAGAATTTCAGCAGTCTCGTTTAAAGTCATCATTTCGTAAGTTCTATACTAGTAGTCGATACAATGACCTTGTCAGCAAATACAATTTATTACTGAGTCAAATGCTGACTGACGTTTTTCATAGTAATACTAGTAGTTAGTACCTTATTTATACACTGAATTGACCTCGGATTTTTCCGGGTTTTTTCCCGATCATGACAAGGATTACAAGGCAGATGTGACCGGTCAGCAGGGGATGCTCACTCCTCCATGTCACCTGATCCCACCTCCGATTGTTTTTGATGTTTGCTCTGCTCCTATTGTGTATTGTTTTGTGGACTTCTGATCTTGAATGCTGTTCGTATCTCCATTTGTTTCATTTATGCATAGAAGAAAAACTGAAAAAAAATATTTTCTCTTCATCTTAAGATATCTTTATATTTCATTTTAAAGTAACAATGTTATGATTATTCAGATTATCAATGACCTTTGTATGCATGGATGAGTTGTTAATAATTCCTCGTTGTTTAGGTAAGGGACAACTTCCTGGGATTTTCCATCTCTGTGGTTGTGGGAATTTTGTTTATTGTCATCTTCCCGATCGTGGGTTGCTGCTTCTGTTGCTGTAGATTGGGCTGCAAGGCTTGCTGTGCACAACCAGAGGAAGAAGATCCTAACGTGTCCTGCAAAAAGGCTCTTTATGGAACTATCCTCTTCGTTTTCATAGCGTTCACTGCGTAAGTATTTTCAAATGGACAACTGGACTCCGGGGATTTTTCTATTATTTTAAGAAATACAGAAAAAATCGATTTTGTTGTTGCAAACATAATATATGTAATTATTTAGATTGAAAAGGGAGAAGGTAACAAACATTGATCGATCGAGAAAAAATCTTCAAACAATATACAATTTTTAATTACGATGTTCTCTTCCTAAAGGAGTTTAGATTTCAAGTTAAATGTTTTACGAATTTTAAACCCGACACTATTGAAAACAAACAATCTTTTTCCTACATTTTCTTATACTGAAATATATATGTGCATTGTAGAGCTGGTAATATCTGCGTGTATGTATCAAATGATAGAATTTCGTTGGCACTGACAGAAATTGTAGACAATGTAGACACAAACCTTGACGATCTTAAGTTGTTCATGGACCACACAACCACGGTACTGACTATACTAGGATAACTTTAATGTCTGGATCATTTCTAGAGGGACATCCTATTTTATTCTTTTCATTTATCACTGCATTAGAGTTTCTGATACATGTTCCTCTCTCTCTTTCCTTTTTGTGTTTTTTTTAATTTCTAGTATATAGAAGAACGTCATTTAATTTATACTTCTGTTTGTTATGTTACAATAGCAAATAGATTTAATCCAGACAAATTTCCAAGCAGCAAAGAACGAAATCGACAAAAAACTGGACATAACAAGTAATTTTTACATTTAAGATCAAAATTCGCTTTCCTCTTAAAAAATAATTCACTTGCTTATTTATTTTACACACATAAACATGACTTACGAGAGTGATTTTCAAGATTTTAAATAAAATTGTGTTTGTTTCATCTGTCCTTTAATGATAAGATATATAAACTATTTGATTATCAAAATTATTTTATTTTTATAAAATATATATACTATACATTATAAAAAATAAAATAATTTCATTATTATTGTTTTATCAACAGAACTTTCTGAGACTTTACAGCACAAAGCCGTGTCTCTTTTGACAGGGGGCGCTGTTCAGGATCTCCAGAGAGGTGATCAATAGCATCATGCGTAATTAACACTTTTGTTTTGTAAGGCTGTTCTGTACATCGAAAAAAAAATCTGACTGGCATGGTCCTTATTTTGACCGAATAGTTATGAAGTGTAAATCTATATCTAGCAGCGTAATTGAGTTTTTAATTAAAAAAAAAATGATCATTATTTTTCATGGAACATTTCATTCAAATTTTTCTTATTCAAATCAAAATACAGTTAGCATCAAATTGGTATTTTGTCTAATGAAGGTTCTTTTAATGTTTCATTTTACAGATGTAGATCATCTAATTTCTGCAATACACAGCATCAATCAGGGAACTCAAAAATTTCAGACAGCATGCTCAGCAATATCATCAACATGTTCTGTGCCTACGGTCAGAATCGCAAAATGCATTATATTTTCAAGAGTTAAAATTGAAATTAAGGTTTTAATTAAATGTAATGATTATGCACATAAAATGGTTCGTGTATATGTGTGTTTTTCTTGGATTTTTCAGGTGCTGCTTCCTACAGTTCCACCAATAAATATATCTGGAGATGTAATTTTTATTGTTTTGATTACTGAAATATCTGTATATTTGTTAGATGTCGATGTAAAACAATTACAAAAAGAAAAGCTTGATCTCTTATCTTAAATATATGGCGCTTGTAAAATCTTCTAATTATCCTGTTATTATCAATAAATCTTTATCAATTTTTAAATATATTTCTCTATACCAAACAAGAGATGTATGTGTTATTTGTTAATCAAAAAATAAATAAATAACTAAATGAAGTTTATAGACCAATAAAAAATTGACTCTCTCTGTTTAGGCCACAGCAAGTATAAAAACAACAATTGACAACGCTTTAAGTGGATCAGCTGCAAGTAATATTACTTTTTAAAAGTTTTTTTTTGACTGAAATAACCAAGTTTTTTTCAAACTTAAGTAAAATGTAAAGCCATATGTTGATTTCTAGCAATGAACCAAGCAAAGACACAATTAGACAACGCTGACACAGAGATACATGATTTGGTGACGAACACAAAGGACGCTATACAAAAGGTAAAATATATATTAGATCTTTTTTAATTAGATTTATTGTTATTTAAATTTACATTTTTACTGTAGAATGCTTAAATGAATAACTTCTCCAAATTGTTCGCAAACTTCTCTCAATCGATTCTCCCAAGAGAAAGGACGGAGACTAGAAAAAAAGTTTACAGAGAAAGACAGGATTTTTTAAAAAAGTTTATATTACATTCGAAAAAGATAATAGAAAATTATTCCAGAAATGATGCTTTTTGGGCGATGATGAAGTTTATTTGTACTTAATATATTCATGATTTTGTTTCTGTTTCGCTCATTAATTGCGATTGAAAACACATAGAGGATACTAAGCTCAGACCGCGCTATTAATATTTCAAGATAAGATATTTATAAGTATATGTTAATAAATTTAATAACGGTGTCTTCTTCTATTTACTCTTTCTGTAAATATTGAAAATTATTTCGAAAACTTTTAATTTTTTCTATATTTTCTAGAAAATAAAATCTTAAAGTTCGTGTTTTCTTAGCTATAATCATTTGAGATGGAAAAAAATACATTATATTCAAGCGATTCCTTTTTTGTCACCTCATATCTCACGGCGTTTTCATTTTTCATTGAGGTTTATAATATTTGTATCTTATATTCAGGGAGATACAGTTAATATAAAAGGAACAAAAGAAATGGTGAAGGATCACTCTAATTTTATAAAACCGTACGACAAATACAGGTAAGTTGCACTAAAAGGTGTTGAAATGCGAATTTTTTATTTCAGAAATGATAGAATTTTTTTTTTTTTTTTTTGGCTAAATTGATATCACCGCATAAAAATCTAAAATGAAACTTAAATTTTTATCTCTTAAGGGGTACCGATCCTCTGAGAAGACAGATAACTTTCAAAGTACAAAATATGAATACTACTCACAGTTTTCTTAATCAGAGTTTCCTAATTGAGACCTCTGAGTAGTCAATTCGATGAAATCTAACATAGGATGAAAACAGTACTTTCTTTTTCTTTTGCCAATTTCTTTGTAATTGTTTAATTATATTTAACAATAAAACATTTCAATCCAATTTCAACTTCAACTTCAATTGAATAATTTGTACAGTTGTGTCTTTTTAAAGACCATTTTCAAAATGGTTTAATGTTTCAAGTACTTAATACAGCATTTTACTTAGTATGACAATTTTTCACATGAAGAAATATTTAGAAGAAATATAACTCCTCCCAAGAGATGTTTTTTTTTCTAACAACAACGTACAACATTCTGATTATCTGACTTAGGAAGCATTGCATCATAATGTTTTGTACATGATTTTAATAGGTATGATACTAAGTATTATTTTCATATGCACCTCATATTTTAAATTTAATGTTGTGATAATAAATTGTTACTCTGTCTGTTCTCTATGTTAAATTTCTTCATATCATGATCTGACATAAAAATCATTTCTGAAAACATAAGCAGAGTTTCATACTTCAAACTATTTTCCTTGTGGTTCTAATGTTATTGTTGTTTATGAAAATCAATATTACAAAATTTAAATTTTTCTAAAGTTAATTTTATAGCAGAGGGTCGGGACCCCTTAAGCTTGACTTACATTAAATGAAATAAAACGTAAATACATATTATGAATACGATGCATGCATTACATGTAACCAGATGGTATGCCGGGATCGGCTGTGCTGGGGTTGTCTCCCTTATACTCGCTCTCTACTGTTGTGGGTTGTGCTGTGGGTGTTGTGGAGGGAGGTCCGTCAATGACCCTCTGGAGAAAGGCTGTGTTTCTAACTGCGCGGGACGTCTTATGATAGGGTTAGTAAATACGTCTTATGATTGGGTTAGTAAATACGTCTTATGATTGGGTTAGTGAATAGATAGTTTTCGATGGACCTAAATCTAGCAAAAGTTACCTCCCTTTGGTCGCCATATTGGAGGTCGACTCGGTGAGTTTTCCTCTTTGTCTTACAAAGTTTAAGAAAATATAGCAGATATATTTGGTGGAAAATCTTTTTTAATTTTTTTTTTAAATAAAGGAGGCTTCCAAAAAATTTATATATTTCGATCAGAAAAATAATTATTCCTAATTCAAAATCGCAAATAAAACATGAAGCAATATGAGCATTTGGCCCATTTGGACCTCCAGTATAGCTGCCAACGGGAGGTAACTTTTGCTAAATTTAGGTCAATCGAAAATTATCTATACGTCTAAAGATAGGGCAAGGGGCTCTTTAACACAGATGTTAATGCTGGAAATGTCGACTTTAATACATACATACATTTTATGAATTTAACCAGGATTTTTCTTTCGGACAACTGCGTTTTCTTATAAAAAGGATACTCTGTACTAAAGAATTTTCATATCTTGTAAGTTGTTATTTCTGAAAATGATTTTGTTTAAATTATTATGATTTTACTCAAAAATATATATATAAAAGATGCTATCGTTCCTCGCTAGCCTTTAGAGAAGGGTCTTTTGGGGGATTTCCATGGGTGCTTGTGAGGTGATTCCATTATAACAAATATTTGTGTATTCTTATGAAGGAGATTTTGATATTTAGATATCTCAACGACGATTTTCAATTTACAGCATCATAGACCTCTGTTTTACTAGAAAAAGACATTGAAGGAGAACTTAAATCTTTATTTTTGATAAACATGATTTATTTAACCTTTTTATTATCACCAGCTTTCCTTTAAGCAATACGCAATAAAGCATATCCATTTCTATAAAATGTCTATGCCCCGTTATTAGCAAACTTTTTTTGTATTCAAATGAAGCAGAATTTGTCCAAAATCCTATACGTGAAAAGGAAGAAAACACTTGCTGTGGCTTTCAACTCGACATTTAGATATATATCGACGACGTATTGTCAATTAACAATGGTTATTTCCATTCTCTTGTCATTACGATATATTCCAGTGAGCTTGAGATAAAAATACCACAGAGTCTAACATATCTGTTTCATATTTGGATATTTTACTTTAAAAAGACGTAAAGGGTAATCTAGCGATCAAGCTCTGTGATAAACATGATGACTTAAACTTTTCAATCGTCAACTTCCTTTATTTATGCAGCAAAATACCTTTATCACCTACATCCAAAGTTTATATCTCTCAGTTGATTCGATACTCAAGAGCATGCTCTACGTAAGTACAGTTTCTAAAACGAAGTAAATTAATGACAAACAAGTTGATGAAACAAGAATATAAGCATTGTTGTTTAAAGTCATCATATTGTAAGTTGCATGGTCGATACAATGACCTTGTCAGCAAATACAAGTTATCATTGACTAAATGCTGACTGACGTTTCTATACTAATTGTTAGTTAATTATTTACACATTGAATTGACGAAAGATTTTTTTCCCGTTATTTCCCGATCATGACAAGGAGCACATGACGGGTGTGACCGGTCGGCAGGGGATGCTCACTTGTAGGGCCATTATTTTCATGTAGAATTGTCCACTTTTAACTCCATTTGCCCAATCACAAATGACTCATGGTTAATGTTACCAATGGACTTGAGATGCAAGTTTGCAATTGATTTCGCATCTTGTATTTCTCCATTCTCTGTACTGAGCCACCATGTAATTTTATAAAGCTTAACATATTCTGATGGAAAATAACCCAGTAACATGTTTCGATATGAAGTAAATTTGCAGTACTTACCAACAGGTTTCATTAAATCAAAATTTGTTTATATGCAAGTGTTCCTTATTCAATAATAAACAAATTGGCAAAACTAGCTGAAACGTTAATAACAGATTCCCGTTTGCATTCAAAATATCTTTACTTGGGTGATGTCTTAAATTACTCACTGTAAGACCCTTCCATGATTGTAGGTCTTTAGTTTTTATATTTGTGTTCTGCCCACTACTGATGTTGATAACTACGACACTTTATATTCCTGGAGCACTGCTAGAGAGATACATCTGCCAGCCGCTGACAGATCCAAAACTGGAGCTGATAGACGAAGTAAATGTTTCCACTTTCCTTCCAACATTTTATGATCATGATAATTTATTATAATTCAATAATTAATAGTAATTTGAAGTTAGAAAAAATAACGATGCATTCATATTTACCATGATTCCGAAAAAAGTTATAATTTTTACATGTCTGTAATACATGTTGCTTTTTGTCCCCCGCTTTGAGAAAAGCGAGGGGAGACTAAATCTCATTCGTCTGTCTGTCACAAAACCTTTAACCTTGGTTATCACTTTTAAATGGACATAGACAAGACTTTCATATTTCTCATGTACATTACTTACGACAAAACCATTTTAAATGACCTTAAATTTTGACTTACTTTTTCAAAAATGTTAACATTACATTAATTTGGTTATAAGTATTGGAAGAGAAAAGATAGACCTTTTATATCTAATGTGTGTATTACTTGTGACAAGACCTTTCCAACTATACTGTGATTTTTTACCCAGTGACCCTGAGTCCTTGACATTCAAGTATAACCTATTTTTCAAAAATGTATTGTTTTCTTAAATTTTTTTAGAAGATTAACCCTTGACCTTAGATTTTTACCATATTTTCAAAAATATTGGCATCGAAAGCAAATTGAAAGGGGATGGGGGCTAAGTAAAAGAAAAATAAACATTCTAACCTGAAAAAAACTTGACAAGCAAAATAGAGAGAAAGAAAGAAAATGTGTATTATCCTAACACGAATATCCTATTCTGTTTGTGTGCATGGGGAGGGGGTACTTATATCTATATTTGCCAAAAAAAAATAGGGGGGGGGTTACCTCCCCCCCCCTCTTCGGTTCCGACGCCTATGAAAAAAATTAATCTTTGTGAATATTTTTAATGACATATATAATAGACCATTCATATTTGACACCGAAAGCAGAAGACCTCAGTTCTTTGAATTTGCATGTAATCTGTGCATCTTCACAATGTCAAGGCTTTGTGAAATCGTTTTGTTTCACGTCAAGGAATGACATCACAAAAACTTGACATTATGAAGCTATCTTTAAAGCTCATCGATGGATTTGAATACAGTCTAGAAGGTGTTCTTAAACATGAACAAGGACATGAAATGGATCTTAAAACTTTCTTTGGGTATACCTCTACTTATTACTTTCATTTTCAATATAGCAGCCATTTGACTGAAAGATTCACTATAATATCAATTGTGCATAATTTGTTGATCTTACAAGCTGGAAAATGACTTTTCAGACTCTTCAGAATTTTTTTTTTCAGAAACTGTCAGAAAAACCAGGCAATCTATAAGGCATTGGATATAGAACATTTGACATTGTTCAATTTCAAATTTTCTACACTTGAGCAGAAAGTACAGGATATAATCAATGTAAGTGCGTCATTTTAATTGAAAGTATTCATAATTTTAAAAATTCTCTTCTCTTTTCTTCTGTTATTGGGAAAATGATTATTTTTGACCTTCATAATGATAGCATTCATATCATAAAAGACAACGTATTTTAACATTCTGGGACTCATGATTGTTTTCTAAGGAACGTATTCTTATATATGTCATTTCTTAGTTATTCTGTAGAATACAAAATATCAAAAGAACGCGAGGCATGAATTAATAAACTTTACTTCCATCATCGTCTATTTTTCTATTTACCATTAAACAATATTATTTAATTATAATAATTATTGTTACTAATACTGTATTTTATAATTTCTGCAGGATATGAGAACCAAAGGCTCATCCGGGATGGGCGATATGCTGAATGATACATCCAAATATGGCTCCGCAAATTTACTGCCTGCAGGCCTAAACGCAAGTCTGAACAACGTAAAACAACAGATGCAGAGTTTAGATCTGAGTGCTTTGGATACAGCAGTAAGAGATTGGCAATATTCACAACTAAACAGAAATGTTTAATGTATTTCATTATTTAGCGACATATGAAGAAAGAGACTCAACTCTTGAAAAGCTTGTATTGCTTCAAAAATTCAATACATGTATCTACATAGTTAATACAATTTGTAGGATGACACAGTGTATAATCAAGTTTTGTTGAATGAAAGGAAATACGTATATTGATTGAAAACTTTTCAAGGTTAACATCTCACCCAATACCGACAAACTTTCAATTTGCCATACAATTTTTCTGTTTTACTGTCCAAGCAAAATTAAACTTGAATTAAATTGACATTTAAGCTCTTTAATCCTTCAAAGCAACTCGTTATGGTTTTTAAGGGGAGGGGGGTTGGGTTGGGTTAAGGTTTGAAATTATTTCTTCAAAATAAAAACAAATGGAAATAACTCTGCAATAATTTATTCCTTACAGCTGAAAAACATGGAGAATTTAATCTCAACTTTTAGTTCGGTATGTACAGTGCATGATCCTTTTCGACTCAATTGGATATTTAATGATTAAAAAAACTGCAAATATACTTACAAGTTTCTTTAATGAAATATATTTTCATTCTATAAATGTAAACAATGACCTAAAATTAAAAGAGAAATTGTTAATTTGGATAAACATCTTATGACAAGAATAGCATTATACTAAGAATATGTTTAAATTAGATAAATTTGTGTTCAATTAATATTCTATCTTGGGATCTTAAAACAGGTTTTCTTTAACCCCCTGATATTTAATGAATACTGATTTTTTTTTCAAAGGGTGCGTCACACGTCAAAGACATGAAAAAAGCATTGGTAATTATATTGATAAAGAAAGCATAAACATGCTTACATAAAATGTTGTAAATTTTTTAGACCTAAATATGTGAACAAATATCCATAAAAATGTTTATGATAAAATGATAAATATATACAAATGTCATTTATAAAAATCCAGTAATTCAGGCCAGTTCTATTCGATTGCATATATAGGAAGATTTTATGAAAACCATCATGAATGATTAAATAGATATATCATGCAAAAGAAAAATGTGTTTATTTTAAATCTATTAATACACCATTTAACATATTTACAATACATAAATACATGTACATAGCTTTAGATTGATGATTTCATAGGATGACATGAAATCAGCAAAGGTGGAGCTCTCCAAACAAAAATCAAACATTCCCGTAAGTAGGAATCCAAGCAAAATTAAAATGATAAGCATTATAAGATAAATATAGTTTTTGATGCAAAGCTTGTGAATGTATTTCTGATTATTTTAAGTATTTTGTAGTCTGCTGTAGACAATGTCAAAAAGCAACTAAATAATGCGACTGATGCTATGAAGAAGAACGGAATGAAAAATGTAATCATACTCTTAAATTTTTGTTCATCGTATAATGAAAATCATTTAATCCAATCATTAGATATTAAAATTATTTACAGGTAATTTCATATTTTGATATTTTGTAGATTGCACAATCATTTATTAATGAAACAGTAAACATTGTTGACTTATATTTCAAAGATGTCAAAAACAAGGTAAGCTAGAAGACATATATACATGTAGTTGTTTTATTACTTCGAGTATTGCTGTTGGAAACCCTATTAAAACCCTGTTTACAAATACAGCTCTTCCTCTAAAAATCCATCTATACCACTGAATAAAATTAAATGAGAAATTAACTTAATCTTTATTTTAAAAAAAGATGCCATTGTGCAGCTTCTATTAAATACTCTCAACAGAGAGAATTTATGTCAAACCATGATAAGAAAACACTTGCTTTGGTCTTCAAGTGACATTTCATGCTAATTGTTAGTCCACTGAATTGACTACATTTTTTTTCGTTCTTCCCCGTCATAACAAGGAGCACACGGCGGATGTGACCGGTCGGCAGAGGATACTCACTCCTCCATGACACTTGATCCCACTGCACATGATGTTTTTTAGGCCTGTGATTGTTCTGCTTCTGATTTGTAATGTTTGAATGGACGTTTTGGCTTTAAAACTGTTTGTTATTACCATATTTTTCAATAGGGTTTCCAATAGCAAAAAAACAAAAAAAATGCTTTTCCTATTACTCTCACATGAGAAGTGAGGTATCATTTTGTGAACTCATTGCTCAAAGTACCTTTTGGGTGTTTTTGGTAAAATGGTATGAGCATCATAAGTTCAATATTGCCTTTCCCTATTCAACATCTAAGCTTTTGAAAGTATTTAATAAAATATTTTTATGTGCTGGGACATGTACCAACAACATCAAAGTCATTATGGCATATTACCCCTCTATTTTCAAACAGGTACACAATGAAATAGGCCAATGTCAGCCCTTGTGGAATCTCTACAACTCTATCATAAAAATTTCTCTTTGTGAATACATTGTGGACGCGTTTGTAAGTATACATATTGCAAAAGGAAATAAAAAAAATAGGTATATATTTGCAAATACAATATATTATATTTTTTTCTGATTTAGTTTTGTCCTCTTTCTTAAAAAAAAAATAAGACAATACATACTCTTTTTGTTATGGGGAGTAATGGCTTTTTTAGAACTCTGAATACAATTCTTCTTCTATAATTCTACAATTACTGATTTTATATAGGAAATCAAATTAAAATTTCAGTGAATTTTGACATTTAAATTGTCCATTAAGTGCTTTTACAATCGTTTTGCTGACTTTCAATGCCAAAATGTTTATTTTGAACCATGATAAAAAAAAATTGTTAAATACTATATAGTGAATTTTTTAATGAGTTTATTTCTTTGATAATGACGAAGCTTAGCTTTTATTATGCAAGTCAGTTGCCCTATTTTAGGCAATGGCAGCTGCGGTTGACCGTTTGAATCCATGATTTTTTTAACTGATTGATTTATTTATTGATGTATTTATTTTATTTTATTTTGTTATCGCAGTATTTCAATGAAATACTTTTATTTTCTAGATTTAACTATTCGCTGTATTAAGAGTAAAGCTTAACGATCGAATTTATTTAAGTATAAGATATACATGTAATATGAAATCAACATCTTTTTTTACGCAAGTGTAGTCAAACATTTATTTCTTATATTTCAAGAATGGTTTCTGGTTTTCCATTGGATGGTGTATATTTTTCTTACTGCCCGCAGCAGTTATAGGAACAAAACTCTCCAACTTCTTGCGAGATGTGGAGTACGTCTACGAAAATAAACACGATGCAGAGTAAGTTTTAAGGCTTATTCTAAAATGTGCAGTTTAAACGTCTATCAATTTTCCATTATTAAAACATACACTTAATTGTCTTTAATGTTTTTCTGTTGCACTTTCTTTCGATAGGAGTGGAAAGACCAAACGCACAAAAAAGTAGGTTAAAAAAAATCAAAACAATGAATAATATCAAATTGTATAATAAGCCACTAGATAAAAATGTTTATATATAAACTTATACTTATGCATTTATAAACTACGCGTTTGTATCTCCAACTTATTCATCCTTTTAATTTCAGGAATCAAGTAGGACACAAAGATGATGAAGAATAAAACATAAAAAGTTAGGTTGTTAGACAACATTCATATTTAATGTATAAAAAGCATGTTACTGTTCACAGAACATGTATATGACAACATTTTTGGTGTGTGAACGTTTGTTTTAGAAAACAATGATTTTGTAATTTTCTTGAAATGCATCATTGCAGCATTATACCTTTTTTGTTTCTTTCCAAGTGCCAACCAACTATCTTGTCATACTAACAGAATTGAGGAGGTAATACTGTATTGTTTCATTTAAATATAATTCTTCTTATATATGGAAATGTGTATGAATTTCTTGAACAATCAATTTTAATTTTGAAAAATTCTGACATTTGATGCAGACTATATGAAAAATCCCTGGGGTAGGGTGGGACCACAATGGACAAACAAAGTTTTACTTAGGAGTATATAGGAAAAATGTGCTTCTCGAGAATAGCAAAACCATGATTGGTCACATTTATATGGAAGCATCCTCAGCTTGTGTGGATTCAAGTCTTTTCAAATCATGAACCTTGGGGTAGGGTTGGGCCATAATGGACGAGCAAAGTTATACATAAAAATATATAGATTTTTTTTTATCTTCTTCTCAATAAAAGCAAAGACTTGATTGGTCATATTTATATAGAAGAATCCTCAGGTAGTGTAGATTCAGAAAAATTATGCATTTATACTTTTTTATTCTACCAAAAGCTGTCAGGTGACCGACGTTGCCCATGGACCTCTTGTTATTTTTTTCCTTTCCCTAATCAAGACTGAAATATCGCAAGTATTTTTGTTAGAAATCGGCAATAAGTCAAATAAAATTAGAATAATTCTATGCATGTGTACCTTAAGTTAAATTCACTGGAATATTTATTTTTAAAAGGTTTCTTTTGCTTTGTATTGGTGTTTTGTTATTCATGAATATTTTATCAATATCAGTCAGGTGATTTGAAACTTGTTTGACTGAAATTCTTTTTTTTTCACAAATGATTTTTACCAAAATTTAATTTTAAGAATGCTTTCGTTTGCTTTGAACATATTTTTGACATTATGTTAATTAAAGGGATTCGACACAAGTTCTAAAACGTTAGCTGTGCCATATAATATATAATTGTTCTTAATTTTATTTAGTAAATTGTCTTTTTTAGATAATATTTTTTTCTGTTTCCCAAGTTTTTAATGATCATATTATTATCATTTCAAATATTTTGATTGTGATTTTATTTTTGAAGTACATGTATATATCTCTGTTTTGTCTATGATTTCAAATTATCAAATTATTTTTCATTCGAGGAGTTAATGATGCGTCTTTTGACAAGTCTTTTCCTATTTACTTTTCCATCCATTCTGAGTGATCAAATCATTCTCTATAATTTTGAGGAGTTTCACTGTTTATGATACTAGTTGCTTTTTCCGGTGATTTTGAATCTAATTTTGTTCTCCTGTTATTTTTTTCTTTTCCAAAGACTGAACAATCAAATCTTTATACATGTATTTTAAGAATTTTTTATGCTTGTAACCTTAGATTTGAACTCGTAATTGCTTGTAAAATATCCGTCCATTTTTATATTAAAATGTCAGAAGTTGTCTTTCTTTCCTAGTAAATTTAAACGCTTCTCATATCTGTTGCCTTCACATTAAAATAAGAGTAAAAGTTAAATATACATGATATAATACGGCATTTGAAACGGCATTTGAAACATCATTTTAAAATGTTTTACAAGAAATGTTGTTGATTTTTTTCTTGTACAGTATATGAACTTTTGCATATGATAAAATCATAGATTATACATCAATTTTGATTAAATGAGTTGATTTTAAAATGCAGTAATCGTATAATAACGTTCCATATCTGAATAAGCAACGTCAACTTGTCTATTATGGCAGTTTCTCCTTGTCATCAAATAAGTAATATATTTAGTCATTTACTAGTAAAATGCTGCAGATCAATAACACCAGTTTATCATGCATGCACAAATGAAAACAAATAGTTTTATACTATAGTTAAAACATTGTAAACGTGACAGAAAAAATAAATGTATTCAAAATTACTATAGCATTTAATAGTTTACAGTCATAACATTGTGAACATTATTTCAAATTGAATAAGACATTCACCTTTAAAAGGATGAAATTTTAATACATTTTTGTATAAAAATACAAAACCGCTGTGGCATATAGTATTGTGAACATTATTTTAATCTATTAAGTAAACCATATTAGAAAACAAAAAAATGCGATCTAAACTTAACATAAGTAGATAAATGTAGGTCTTCTTTCAAATCTCTTATTCTTAATCAAAGAGTCTGTAAATAAACCGAAAAATGTCTTGATCCAAGTATTCACCTTACAACACAGGCTACTTTAAATTCATCCTTTAAATACCGTTTAATATTGTAACACCATATCAGGACATCATTTATATAATAAAACATAAACTGTTTTGTATACCAACATATTAGTATTCGGAACAGTATATGACAATTTGAAATAGAAAGAAAACAAACAGTATTCAAGATCATAACTATATTTAGCAATACAAATGTGGAACAGAGTAAACATGAACCTCGAAAAACATCAGGGATTGGATCGGATGCAATGGAAAGTAAGTATCCCCTGTCGACCGGTAACACTGTGTGCTTCTTTGCATGATCGAAATAAACGAAATTTGTTTTGCAGAAAATGGTCCAGTTGTGGACAAGGTCATTGTATCGATCATGGAGTATACGAAAGGATGACTTTAAACAAAATATTTGTTATTCTTGTTACATCAACTTCCGACAAGGTTGTTTAATTACGTAAAACATTATTTTGTATATCTAATCAACTTGAAGACAATATCCTCGTATGAAGGTGATAAGGTTTATACATTGCTACCTAAATAAGTGAGGTTGATTATAGAAAAGTTAAAGTTGATCACAGCGTTTCGTTGTTAGTTAACCTTTAAAGGTTTTCTTTTCAAATAAAGTATGTCTAGATATGAAACAGAAGGGTCAGACTTTATTGTACCTTTTATTTCAATTTCACTTGGATATATTTAATCGACATATAAATGAAACTAACTATAGGTTATTAACAATATATGAACGATATATCTATATAGCTAAATGTCGATATGAAGGCAAGTGTTTTCTTCCAATGTATAAGGATTTGAATAAATGTTGCATCAAATGAATACAATAATAGGCCTGCTAATTATAGGGCCCAATGTTACCCATGGAAATTCCAATTGATTATTGGAAGACCTGGCCCCGAGGTTATAAAACTTTTTGGAGTTCAAATTCGTACTCAAACTCAAACTCCGTACTCCAAATTCATACTCGTACTCCAAAGTCGAGGTTATAAAAAATCATTATACTCATACTCAAACTCCAACGGAGTACAAACTCGAGAATTTTCAAGTATGCTCCAAACCAACCTCAGAGTCAATCTCAAGTGTCATGTATAGGGTTATTTCACCCTATCTACCGGCTTGCATGATCCTTTTGCACCATAATTCTTGTTCGTCCTACAGATTACCCTATGGTTAATATTTTATGCCTACATTATCATTGGATTTTAGTTTTTTTCTTCTTTTTTAATATAAGTTATTGAAATGATATATGTACATGTAGGTTTAACTGTTTAGTTCCGTCGTTTGAGCATTTGCGAATTGAACCACAGGTCTGACGAATGGGTTACATAAATTGCCCTCATATAGCGTATACTGCGTGCTAGCGCAAGCATGTACCCTCATTTTAATATGTAAGTTTACATAATTTTTACCTCTAAAAGCTAAAGATTTCCTTTTCCAGAGTTTGAGTTTGTACTCCAAATCTGTTGAGTTTGACTCAGTGGATTGTACTCCAAATATTTATAACCTCAAAATTAGAAACGTATTCAGTGGAGTTCATACTTGGAGTTTGGAGCTTGAGTTGGAGTATGAGTACAGTAAAAGTTTTATAACCTCGGGGCCTGGACTCAAAAAAAGATACATATATAATATCAATCAGAAACTTAAGCATCTTTTAAATATCAAACTCAGAGTACCAGTGTTTGCAATCATAATGTTTTTGACAAAATTTAAAAATAACCGATGTCCGTTTAAGGTAAGAAATTAATGTTACAGATTTAAGTCTCTTCTTTTTTGACATCATCAATATATATTTGTTGTATGAGTATTATAGAATATTTATTTTAAAAACAATATTCATGAAGGACTGTAACTACTTGTTATTCTTTCATGTTAGAATTAAATATTCTTTGAAATAATAGTCAAAAAATAAGAAAAGCATGTCTTTTTCTTTTGTGTAAGTGTAATGTACATGATTTCATCCTGACAAGCAGCATTTTTATGTTGCTTGTCCCTATATGTTCTGTTATTTATCATCATTATCACGAAGAAAGTTTACAACAATTGTTGAACAGCTCAACATTAGTAATCATACTGAATGTACAAGAAATTGAGCGTGTTTATAAACAAAGTTTGGTGTTAATATCCATTTATCACCAGTTATCTAGATAAAATTTTACCTTTCTTCGTGACACGTGTTAAAGCGATAGAAAAGTTCAACCCTTAATACAGAGATTAATGAAAACTTTTAACGCTGACAACGAATTTCCTTGTTAAAAGCATATCGCGACATAATCCCATTTAAAAGCAAAAACTAATTTATTACAACTGCCAAGTTAGATGAGCAATGTAATTTCGATACACAGCATTAAATACACCCGAATCCCTTTTGTTAACTGGTCACTTCTTGCTGGGGTAGCACAGCGATGGCTTTATTAAACCAGAAATAATGATAGCGGCTCAATAAACAACAGTCAGCCCACAGCTAACATTAGTATTATGGATCACCGTGTTATCGCGGAGGGGTTTTGGAACAACATTATGTGAGCAATAAACTCCTTGGGATCCTGACAACGCTTCCAGTCATACACAGAAGCACGTTGATTAGAGATCCTTCTGGAGCCGGACTGGTAATTACGGCACATTAACCCTCCATCAGCAAGGTGCTTGGAACCACTATATTTACTCTCCCTTTTCTTGATTGTGTAATTTATCAGAAATCAGTGAATTGATATTATGTATTTTCTCAGCTATTTGTCCAGATTAGTTATCTTGATTGCGCTAATCCCCGTGTAAAAGGCGACAGGTAGTGTATTAGTTAGAACCTTACACGGATCCGGAACCATGGAATGTTATAAATGATATACCAATTATACAGGGTCTGATTTGCTGGATTCAGATATTCTAATCAATAAGCTGACAACATTAAATTGGCATTATGCATGCCTAATTTGTTTGTTCATGTTGGCATGTTTGTGGAACTAATGGAAACTTCTAAAGCTTGGACTGTACGATAAAAAGAAATTGCTAGATTTTGCGTTTTCATTTTGGATTTAAAATAGATCTACCTTTTAATTCCTTTATTTTTTCAAGCAATAATATCGATATATCTATTTTCAAGTGTACCTGGAAGTAACAATCCTTTAGTTCAAGTTTTATCTAAATTATATTATTCAATGATTGTTCTAATTTTAACACCTGAATCTAAAATACGGTTAATAGACTATAAAGTAAATATTTTAAAATTCTCAAAATGGTTCCATTTCAAAAAATTCAAAATCCTTTTCTCAAAGTAGAAATGTGTATATAGTAAAGCATCAGATTTAGCAGTCAATAATGAACTAGGTTCTTATATATTTGTTTATGTATGTGATGAAAATATGTTCAAATATTATACCAGATTAAGAAATATGGATCATAATTACATATCATAATGCACTTGTAGTATCATGGAGCTTTCCAGGAGGATAAAGAGTAAGTTTTGAGAAGGGGTTATACTTCATGGCAAAGCAAGATTTTCAATCTTTACCAAAAACTAAACTTGACCTCTTCAAATATTTCCCATAATGATTCGAGGTTTACGTAAATAAAACTTTTGTGGATATGACTTCTGAACTGTTGAACACAATCTCATTTTCTTACTCGGGAAAACTTTATTTCTATAGTAAAATCTTCAACTATTCTGATTATAAATAGCAGGGTTACTGAAAGGTTCCTTTGAAAAAAATATGAAAGATCACAGCTTAAAAAATTAAGAATCAGTGCACATTCACTATTCACTGAAACAGGCAGTTGTTGTTAACTAATAATTCCTAAGGAAAAACTTTTATTGCTTGTAAATTATTGTTTGAAAATTAAAAGAAACATTTCGTACTTTACTGTCCTGTGTATGACAATGTTTGCTTTTAATATTGTGATTTTATATGATAAATGATACATACTGTGGTACTGATCCATTAAAAAATTTTAACACATATGAAACATATGGAGATAAAGAACAGTGTTCAAAATCAAAAGTCCATAAAACTACAAAATAGGAACAGAGCAAACACGGAGCTCCAAAACATCAGAGATGGGATCAGGTGCCATGAAGGAGTAAGCATCCCCTGCCAACCGGTCACATCCGCCGTGTGCTCTTTGTCATGATCGAGAAATAACGGAAAAATCCGTCGTCAATTCAGTGTATAAATAATAGACTAACAATAATTATTAGTATGAAAAACGTAAGTCGGCATTTGACTCAGTGATAAATTGTT